TAATAGAGAGGTTGAGGCGCACGTTTTAAACGTGTAAACGTGTACGTGTGACGTTCGGCGCCGCTTTCCCTTAAGCCTAAAAGTTTGACGATGGTGTTTGGAATGTCGAGCGTGATTCCACCGACTATCCAAACACCATTGTCAAACTTTTAGGCTTACGGGAAAGCGGCACCGAACGTCACACGTACACGTTTAAAACGTGTGCCTCAACCTCTCTAACATCTTGCATAATCAAAACTAAGGCTGATAAAAGTATTACATAAAATTAGGGTTTATCAAGTAGGCAGGCCTGGACTGGGGTCACAGTGAGTAATTCTCGTGACTTAACAGAAGAGAAAGAATTACAAAAAAAAAAAAAAAAAAAAGGAAAATGACACACGTATAAGCAAAAATCCATGATAATATTTATTAAGTTGAACAGTTATATATATATATATATATAAACAATGATTATAAACAAGAAGTTAGTAATAAATATATATTTAATATTCAAAAACAAGCCAAGATCAATTATGTACAAGCAAAAAAAAAAACAATCAATNGAAGTTAATAATAAATATATATTTCAAATATTCAAACAAGTCAAAATCAATTATGTACAAGCAAAAAAAACAATAAAAAGAAATTCTTTTTCAGAACTCAGGACATACAATTAATTAAATCTCCACTAGTATCAACTAAATTCAAAAACAAAGAATATGTGGCTTGCAAGTTAAATTCTATACCAAAATTAATGTCAGAAAATTTAGTCCAACATAGATAGCCTTCACACTCTCAAGGTTGCCTTCAGGAGCTACACACCTCTTCATTGAATGGTGTGTTATCTTTCATCTGGCTTACAAGTGTAATGCTATACTATCCTATTTACATATTTGAACATTACAGGATCAGTCACATATGAAAGTGAATGTTTTAATTTTGAATTTAGTTCATTGTTACAGTTTTGAGAGTTTTCCATTATGTTTTAAGTATCCTTAAAAACATAATAAAATGTTCCCAAAAACAAAATGCCCAAAATATTAAATAACAGTTGGACTTTGAATCCTTACAGAAGTTACCAAAACTGACTGATTCTGTTGAATACAATAAAAACAGTGGATAACTTATACAAAAACTTTCTCATAATTCAACAAAATTACTTCTTTTAAGCTTTTATTATTATTTTCAACTTTATGTTGTAGATAGTTGAAAATTATTGGATGTCCTTCCTAGTTCTCTTAACCTTCTATTTGAGTTGGAGCCCTTGCCAACTTTTTTGATAATTATGATGGTTTATGTTCAATAATATGAAATGCTGCTTTGATACTAAATATCAGCCTTTGAATATTTTGGATTCTGTCATTTGGCTTAATTTAAATTTTATAAATGCAGTATATATAACTGAAATTATTTATATAGCATATTAGTAATTCTTGGTTTGAAAATTTCATTCTATAACTTCAATTCAAAATTATTTTCTGAGATTATGAATACAAGGTACTATGCTCTTTACAATTTCATATGATATTTACAATCTTACACTTGTTTTAAAATGCTATTTTCTCTTCAGACCAATGAAACTATCAGTGGATATTATTCTCAAATGAAAAGAATATTATACATTATTCACAATTTTAAATACATATTGAATACTAACAAATTACTGTAATTCCATGTGGCTGACAATCGAAGTATATTTTTCTTGGATTGAATATCACTGAATCATAAGAAATAAACGTCTTCCAACACTAGAGGAGTTATAATTCAGCACCTCAAACAACCTTTACAGCTCCAGTGGTATGTTTTTACACCTTAGCAAACGTTTTCAACTTCATCGAGGTCTTCATCAGGCAAAACGACTGTAACGCACGTGTAATATCAAGTTTGCATAATGGTAGTTATGCAAACTTGATATTACATGTGCATTACAGTCGTTTTAGCGCGTGCGTAACGTTCCACGAGTATTCTTAAATCTGATTATAAATTTTGAATCGTATACGTTCCGTTCCAAATGCGTTCGAATTTCTAGTTAAAGTAGCCTGATGAAGACCTTGATGAGGTTGAAAACGTTTGCTAAGGTGTAAACACATACCACTGGAGCTGTAAAGGTTGTTTGAGGTGCTGAACTGAATCATAAGCATAGAATTAAGAAAAGACAGAATATGATTCTTTGCCTCCATTTATGAAATTATTTTACTTGAAAAATGATTCAAACCATTTAGCATGTTTCCTTTCCTGTATTTGGGACATTTGTGCCAGAACTTCAGAATAGTTTTTAGAAATACTGTATTGTATAATTTGTGGAAATTATATATAACATAATCTTACCTATTTTTCCTTTTAAATAGATGATGCTTTTCAAATAACAGAACTTACAATTTATACTAAAGAATGGGAGGATGAAACTTATACTGTTTCAGGAGATATCATGGATGGGGTAAGTAAAAAATTATTGATTGTATTTCTGAAGCAAAAATAAATTGATTTAATTTCTAAATTAATTAATAAAATGTTTACCTAGTATTTATATGATCTCCTAATGAACATGTTGGAAGATCGAGGCATTGGCAACGAATTTGCAGATCTGTTGGTAGAATATTGTACGTCATATGAACACAGCAAATATGTCGGATTACTTGAAGAGTTAAAAGAATTTGTATCAACTAAATAATCTTACAAGTTTAGATTTATTCATAAAACTTTTTTAAGTGAATTATTACATTGATTTTCATCATGAGCAAACATTGAAATGATAATTTCAATTTAGATGTATTTTATTAGCATTTACTAATTATAATTGTAATGTCATTCTGTAATAAAAGAAGAAATTATATTTTATTGATTTGTGTATAATTTTTATCATTGAAGTTGTATTTTGAATATCTGATAGATTCATTCATGATACTATTAAATATAATTGAAGACCTAGGGACAAGAACATGTTAATTCATTTAGGTTTCTAGGAAAATCATTCTAAAGTTCCACATTTGCTCTCTATATAAGACAGATCACAAGTGATTTTAAGTACAATGAATAGTTTTTGATTTTTTCCTCAAAATTTCGATGATAAATGTGTTTAGTTAGTTAATTTCTAATAATAAAATCATTATTCATAGAAAATGTGTGACGATAATTTTTATTTCACATCAATTATTTTTCATATCGGACCATAATTTTTTTTTATTTTATAGCCAATTAGATTTCAATAGACAATATGGAGTTTGTGCACGATGTATTTTTCGTTATAAAAAGTCCATCATAACTGTATGCATAACGTACCAGTATAAGCCTAAGAAAAGTTTTACATTAGAAATTTTATTTTATAAAATTCGGAACCAATTGTATTTGATTTTTTATTGACGTCAATGCATCGTCATCGTTATGAATGTGCACATATTTATGAGCATGCTCTATGTCGACCATATGGCTGCTTCGTACACACCTGTTTGAAATTTTGCTTTTAGTTCTCTTAATATTATGACCAGCATAAAAAAACTATATAGATTTATCAAATTAGAACGATTGAAACTTCTACAAGAAATATGCAATTACAGGGCAAGTAGCGAAGATGAGTCGAGACAGTTTGAGGCAACTTGAGTTTTATTACTTATAATTAAATATATTTACGTAAAATTTAAATATAAAATAATTGATGTTTAAATAAACACCCCTTAGGTTAAATTTTGTATTGTGCAACTGATGAAAAATCATAGATTACAGTGGCGTTCCGTGACATTTGATGATAGGGAAGCTGTGCTTTTGTAAGAAGTCGACTTCCAGGGGCAATCAGCCAGGATGGCTGCCGAAACTTGTAAGGAACCGACCATGTGTTTGTTCAGTGCCTGAGCCGATTCAGTTTCCATCGGTGACTACTACTGCGAGGACCAAATGGAGAACAAATCATTGAATTTATGTCAAATTCTAGACTATATCGGCGACAGGAAACGTTGTCTTGTAGAAGGTGAAGCTGTTTTGGATGCTGGACACATCGTATTTTGTGGATTAAACTCTAACAACAACACTGAAGTTCATGTTGGTTGTTGCTTTAGTGTTGCAATCTCAGATATTGTCATTTTAATACATCTCAATTACAGGGAGAATGCATGTGCAAAGCGGGCTATCTGGTTTTTGTAAACATGTGATAGCATGTTTATTACACATTAACAGGAGAGAAGTGTTTAAATATTTTAAGCAGTATACACCATGTTCCAATATAAAAGCATAGTTTTATTTATGTTTTTATATTGGAACATGGTATATACTGCTTAAAATATTTAAACACTTCTCAGTATGTTTATTACACGTTAACAGTATCACATGTTTACAAAAACGAGAGAGCCCCGCTTTGCACGTGCTTTCTCCCTGTAATTGAGATGTATTAAAATGACAATATCTGAGATTGCAATACTGAAGCAAGAACATGAACTTAAGTGTTGTTGTTAGAGTTTAATTCACAAAATACGATGTGTCCAGTATCCAAAACGGCTTCACCTTCTACAAGACAACGTTTCCTGTCGCCGATATAGTCTAGAATTTTACATAAATTCAATGAATTGTTCTCCATTTGGTCCTCGCAGTAGTCGTCATCGATGGAAACCAGTGTCGTGCCATCCTTGGAAGCGGTGGAAGCGCCGCTTCCCTTGTAATTTCTAAAATAATCGCACAATATAAATATCATATTGTGCGATTATTTTCATATTTTAACGTACTTTGAATTAATTAAAATTAATATTTTATTATAACCGCATTATGTATTTTATTACAAATTTCTATACTACCTGTGAAAAAAACGACAAGATTGATATTGTATATTCGAATATTAGTGGCGGAATGGAAGCGCTCGCTGTATTGTCGAATACCAGACAACTTCCAAGCAGCCAGATTATACACATTCGCGCATGCGCTTTACAGAGCACCAACCTCACCCGGTTTAACTGGTGGAAGCTACACACCATAACATTTCCAATGATTCTATCCAGGACCGGTTCTGGGCTGTTAGCCGCCTGCTTACTAGATATTTAGCCGCGCTCGTCCCATTATGTGAATCGCGAGTAGCCCAACTTAGCCCAACCGATCGGAGTTTACTGGTATGTTCTTTATAGATACTTCTTTATAGATGACAAGAGTTTTAAAAAATCCATTAAAATATTTGATATATTTATTCTGTTTTTATTATGCTTTCCCATTTTGTATTACTTACCGATTTCAATGTTAAACTAGTGATATTACGATTTAGTATGCCCCATCTATAAGAGGATGCAGAAAAAAACGTGTACAATGTTAAAAAAATGAACTGTTACTTTGGCAGCATCATTTACAACTAAATTTAATGAATGGTATGCACAAGGTACAAAAAAAGCTCTAGAATTTATTTTCCTTAAATTTACGATTTATGTATCCGTTTGTCATAAAAATTTGTCTTTCCACTTTTTTCCCAAGACTACAAGTATTCAAGTACAGAGTAACTGGTTTCAACTTATTTCTACTTAAGAAGTAAAGTAGTTAAATAATTAAGAGATAAGGGAATTGGGGACATAAATAAAACCTTGCTGAAAGAGTCAGAATATTAAAAACTCTAGAACAATGGTTTCCAATTAGTGGTACCAATTTCCCAATTAATTGGTGGAAATTGCATGAAGGGGTACGCGCGCCAATCTAAAATCGATCGATTTAAAATTTAAATGCATCAGATGAAGCAATAAAAAATAATAATGGGTAGACCATCAAAAATTCGGCAATTTACAACATGATGTCGAATGCACAAATTCGTTTATTTATAACTAAAAATATTCTTGCTGATTTTTATTGAATATATTTATTTTTTCTGTTTAATATTATTGGGTATGTATACATTTG